TATAAAAAAAAAAGGCTGACAATTTTGAGGAAATTGGTTTACGTGAAAGTTATAGCGTTTAAAAATGGCGGGAAAGATACTGGGATTTTTAGATTTTTTTTTTTATACTAATAATGGCAGCAATCAGCGACTTATGGCGGCGATCAGTGACTTATGGCGGGACTGCGGTGGACATTCTGACATTGGGGGGTACTGACTTGGGGTCACTGACATCCCCAGTGATACCAATACAGTGATCGGTGCAAAAAAAAAAAACACTGACACTGTACTAATGGCACTGAGGAGGAAGGGGTTAAGTTTATTATTCAGGGAAAGGGTAACTGTGTGTGAGGGGAGGGGAGTGTTTTACTAGGGGGCGGGGGTGTGTACTGCAGGGAACACCGCTGATCGGGAGAGAGAAACTCTTCTGTCCTGATCAGCGTGTCCTGGAGCTGTCAGGGAACTGACAGAAAGCACAGCTACTGCAGCTGTGCTAAATCCAACACAACAAACACTTTACTCCTGCGCTAGGAAAGGACTCAGTAGACCCAATAGGAATGTTCTGGAATTTTCTGGAATATGCACTGCTTGCTCCCTTCAACAGACCGGGGTGGTCCGAGTACACTGGATACAAATGGAGAAACAGAAAAAGGACGCACCGACCTAGTGCATTATCGTTTAAAATAATTTGTTAAAGAAACAAAAATAGGTATCATACTCACAATGGACATAATAACACAAGCCAACCAAGCTCTGAGGAAGAGGTTGTGTCCTCGAAACGCGTTAGCCAGTTGGTCATCCAGGGTTCCATCGTATGGACTCAGATGTTGTTTGGATCATACATCTTGTTCAGTTTGACATGCCTGTGTTATTATGTCCATTGTGAGTATGATGCCTATTTTTGTTTCTTTAATAAATTATTTTAAACGATAATGCACTAGGTCGGTGCGCCCTTTTTCTGTTTCTCCATTTGTATCCACTGCAGCTGTGCTCTCTGTCAGCGATTGCCACCGATTGCCGAGACATAGCCGGTAATGACCGGCTGTGACCCGGCGACTGACATCCGCGGCTGTGATCAGAGGGACAGGCAGGGCGGCGCCCCCTACCTGTTTTCAAAACACACGTTGTAAAACGTGCTTTTGCCCAGCCGTGCCGCTCTCCCGCCGTATTTCTACAGTGGCTGGGCAGCATGTGGTTAACACAGGAGATGGTTTAAATAAATATAATGTATCAAGAGTTGTCATATGTGCCAAGTGTCCCGTATATTCTGTCCTTCAGGACACTGACACTGGCAAAGTATGAGGGCAAGTTTGGCTTCATAGCTGGATTTGTCCTATTTCCCGTTCCGGTATTTGCTTTAATAGTGTAGGGGAGGAGCTGGGCTCCCTCCTCCCTATATAAAGGTGTTGTGTTCGTATGCTGGCCACGCCCCTGAAGATGTCATAGATGACGAAAAGTGTTGTGAGGTGTCAACGTGTGACATCAGCACGAACCAGACCGCGGCTGCCATCTTGTTGGTTAGAAACTTACCATTTGGTTATATGGTGACATGCTGTTTTAAGTATATCTTGATGTATGTATAATACTACGTTGTAAGGAAATAAATCCTACTAATTATACTACACCATGAGGATTCTTTTGCTTTTTGGATGATTTTGTCCTCTTTGAGGATAATTCATTATTTTTGGTCTATATTTGGCAATTTATCTGAAGTATCAGTTTGGGAGCTCAGCCATATAGTTCTAGCTGAAATAGTGAACTATACCATGTTTGATATCTAGACGTTCAGCAGATGATTCTGCATATTAATCTACCCATGGATAGAATGTTACATGTACCTCGGGAAGGTTATGGCCCATGGTATAACTTGAGAGGGATTTTGTTTCTAGTCTGAGTCTCCCGCCTACAACACCCCTCCCCAAATGAGGCGATTGGTTCTCTGCTGTAAGGAGACACCCTGCTGAGTTCCTAGAAAAAGGCTGTTATGCTTGGAGCAGTGAGTTGAAGAATTCTCCCCTTTTAACATCAGGAACCAACTTGGGAGACGGTACCCTTTGCTCTGAAACTTGATCTGCTTAACCCAGGACTTTTGGCAAGTACTCTACCTCTCTAAAACGTCTTTCTATTATCTCTTTGCTGTGTTATTGCTTTCTGTTATTTATATATATATATATATATATATATATACATATATATACACAGTGGGGCAAAAAAGTATTTAGTCAGCCACCAATTGTGCAAGTTCTCCCACCTAAAAAGATGAGAGAGGCCTGTAATTGGCATCATAGGTAGACCTCAACTATGAGAGACAAAATGAGAAAAAAAATCCAGACAATAACATTGGCTGATTTGGAAAGAATTTATTTGCAAATTATGGTGGAAAATAAGTATTTGGTCACCTACAAACAAGCAAGATTTCTGGCTCCCACAGACCTGTACCTTCTTTTTTAAGAGGCTCCTCTGTCCTGCACTCATTACCTGTATCAATAACACCTGTTTGAACTTGTTATCAGTATAAAAGACACCTGTCCACAACCTCAAACAGTCACACTCCAAACTCCACTATGGTGAAGACCAAAGAGCTGTCGAAGGACACCATAAACAAAATTGTAGACCTGCACCAGGCTGGGAAGGCTGAATCTGCAATAGGCAAGCAGCTTGGTGTGAACAAATCAACTGTGGGAGCAATAATTAGAAAATGGAAGACATACAAGACCACTGATAATCTCTCTCGATCTGGGGCTCCACGCAAGATCTCACCCCATGGGGTCAAAATGATCACAAGAACGGTGAGCAAAAATCCCAGGACCACACAGGGGGGACCTAGTGAATGACCTGCAGAGAGCTGGGACCAACATAACAAAGGCTACTATCAGTAACACACTACGCCGCCAGGGACTCAGATCCTGCAGTGCCAGACGTGTCCCCCTGCTTAAGCCAGTACATGTCTGGGCCCGTCTGAAGTTTGCTAGAGAGCATTTGGATATTCCAGAAGAGGATTGGGAGAATGTCATATGGTCAGATGAAACCAATATAGAACTGTTTGGTAGAAACACAACTCGTCGTGTTTGGAGGAGAGAATGCTGAATTGCATCCAAAGAACACCATAACTACTGTGAAGCATGGGGGTGGCAACATCATGTTTTGGGGCTGTTTCTCCACAAAGGGACCAGGACGACTGATGCATGTACAGGACAGAATGAATGGGGCCATGTATCGTGAGATTTTGAGTGCAAACCTCCTTCCATCAGCAAGGGCATTGAAGAAGAAACGTGGCTCGGTCTTCCAACATGATAATGATCCCAAACATACCGCCCGGGCAATGAAGGAGTGGCTTCGTAAGAAGCATTTCAAGGTCCTGGAGTGGCCTAGCCAGTCTCCAGATCTCAACCCCATAAAAAACCTTTGGAGGGAGTTGAAAGTCCGTGTTGCCCAGCGACAGCCCCAAAACATCACTGCTCTAGAGGAGATCTGCATGGAGGAATGAGCCAACATACCAGAAACAGTGTGTGCCAACCTTGTGAAGACTTACAGGAAACGACTGACCTCTGTCATTGCCAACAAAGGATATATAACAAAGTATTGAGATGAACTTTTGATATTGACCAAATACTTATTTTCCACCATAATTTGCAAATAAATTCTTTCCAAATCAGCCAATGTGATTGTCTGGATTTTTGTTCTCATTTTGTCTCTCATAGTTGAGGTCTACCAATGATGCCAATTACAGGCCTCTCTCATCTTTTTAAGTGGGAGAAGTTGCATAATTGGTGGCTGACTAAATACTTTTTTGCCCCACTGTATATATGTTGTTGCACTCCACAGAGAATTTGTGATATCTTTGTAAAATTAATAAATATACAAAATAAATATAGTGAGATAATAAATTAATAAAAATCATTAATTCCAAAAGGTAAAAAATCAATCTTATATATTCAAAGAATAGTGCAAAAAATGTTTACATAGATTCACAAATTCACTGTGGAGTGCGACACACATTTATATATATATATATATATATATATATATATATATATTTTTTATTGTCTCTATTTATATTGTAAAGCGCTGAGCAAACTGTTGGCGCTATATAAATCCTGTATAATAATGTAGTACGTTTTTGATGCGTTTTAATCTGCCGAGCAACAAGTTGGAAAAAAAAGCAAAACGCATCAAATACGCATAAAAAACGAACTACAAAAAGCACTGAAGAAACGGATCAAACGCAAACTGCATAGGTGGGAAGCTTGAGTCTAGGTTCACACATATGCGTTTTTCATTGCATTTGGCGTTGTGCAGAAATGCACAGCAATCCATTTAACATGATTTCCTATGGGACAGGTTCACATCTCCGCGTTTTCACCCGGTGCATTTTTTTTTTAGGGCCAGGGACTTTTTTAAATGTAAAACGTTGCATTTTTGGTTTAATAGACTTTCACTGGAGACGCTGCAGAAATGCATGTAGTGCATTTTTGATGCGTTTTAATCTGCCCAGTAACAAGTTGTGAAAAACCCCTGCAAAACGCATAAAAAATGCACTACATGCATCTCTGCAGCGTCTCCATTGAAGTCTATAGAACCAAAAACACGTTTTGCATTTTAAAAAGACTCTGACCCTTTCCAAAAAACGTCCCGAGTGAAAACGCGGAAATGTGAACGTGTCCCATAGGAAATCACGTTCAATGGACTGCTGTGTGTTTTCTGCAAACTGCAATGAAAACGCATAGGTGTGAACCTAGACTTCAATGAAGAAAAAAAAAGTTCTGCCTTTAGTTCTACTTCATTGATTGAAGTACTGAATAGAGATGACGGACAGCTTTTATTTGTAAGAACAGAGGTCGCCTCCATGTCTCTCAGCACAGGTTTCCTCCGGTTCTGTTCATGTTTGGGAGTTGCTACACACGACATACATTGCTAAGGGAGAATAGCTCTCCATGTATGGGGCACTGGAATGCTCCACCCCCTGCAGGCTCCGTTTGCCTGTCTTCCGCTCGGCGTGCTGACGTCAGGACCGTAGTGCTGACTGTCTTCCGGTGTTCAGTGGTGGCTGTAGTCGGCGATCTGACAGAATGAGTACTATGTTTGCAGACACGGTGCTGATCGTCTTCATCTCTGTGTGCACCGCGCTCCTCGCCGAGGGTGAGTGTCGTGAGAGGGATGATCATAGGGGGAAGGAATGACAGGGAGCTGAGCTCTGATGTGACCTCATACATTCCCCACTACTACAGCGCTGTACATGTGTGTGCTGTCATGTCTCCTCTACACAGGAGGACTGCATCTGTGCTGACATTTGTCCTGTGAACAGGATTTGCTGTCCCTTCAGGTCATTCACCATTGGATTTTTTTGCTCAGCTTGTAGAAAAATCTAACAGATTCCACCATACACAGGGATGGATGATGGGGCATGTATAGGCCCAGTTCCCAGCAGGGAATGCCTCCGCTGCTTATGATTGGCTCTCTGCAGTGACCGCTTCCTGGCGGGATATCTCAGGCGGGTTTGGACTAGGTTCTGGGCACACCTGTGCTCATCCCTGATTAAAGCAGAGTTCACTCACGCTGTCAAACAATAAAAGTGACTTTCAAAAAACAGCTACTTACCTGTCCCGTGGTGTGTCCTCCGCAGCCTGTTTCACCAGCCGTCCTGTGTTCCAGGTGCCGGCATCTTCAGTGTGGGCACCCGGCTGTGACAGCTTGCGGCTTCACAGCCGGGTACCCACTGCACATGCGCAAGTAGCGCTGCGCTTCATGAATGGTCCTGTAGTCTTCTGGGACCTGTCACGTGTCCCAAAAGACTACAGGGAGGGAGGACACCTTCTGCTTCCGATCACCTAGGCGATCGGACCGGAAGTGGGAGCGGGTACCTGTCAAATTCGGGAACCTGCTCCAAACCTCCCCCCCCCCTCAAAGGTGCCAATCCTTCATGGGGAGGGGGGAGCAGTCCTTAAAGCAGAACTTCCCCTTTTTGGTGGAGCTCCGATTTAACCACTTCACTACCAGCCACTTTCACCCCCTTCCTGCCCAGGCCAATTTTCAGCACTGTCACTCTTTGAATGGCAATTGCAACACTGTACCCATATGAAATGTTTACCATTTTTTTCACACAAATACAGCTTTCTTTTGGTCATATTTAATCACCACTGGGGTTTTTATTTCTTGCTAAACAAATGAAAAAAGATGAAAAATTTTGAAAAAAATGTTTTTGTTTTTTAGTTTGTTATAAAAATGTTATAAATTAAGTAATTTTTCTTTTTCACTGATGTGCCCCGAGGAGGCTGTACTGTCTGTTTACATGTGACCAACTGCAATTGGTAAACATGTAACATGGTAAAGGGCCACTGTGATTGGCTTTTTACTGCAATCTGTGATCAGCTGTGTCCATATGACAAAAGCAATCACAGAACGCACCGGATGGATGTCATCCCAGAACTGGAGAGTCGCACTGTCATCATCTTTTTGCTATAGCGCGGTCAGCAAGTGGTTAAGCTGCTAGCTGTCAAAATACTTGAACAGAGCCTGAAGCTGAGTGAATGCAGTCGCTGCTTGGCTGACAATTTTCAACCTGCACCCTTCATTTTAAGGGCTCATTCACACTTGGCTGTTTTACCAACGCTTGCCAAACGGCCCTATAGTGTTTGGCAAGTGTTGGTCCGGCGTTTGCGGAACGTTTTTTAACGCTCCGCAAACGCCACATGCGCGGTTTAGCGGCGGCTGCTAGGCGTTTGCCGAGCGTTAAAAACGCCCCACAAATGCCTATAATGCAGTTTGAATGGTGTTACCGCTCCGCAAATGCCCCGCAACCGCACATTTGCGGAGCCGCACCATAGACTAGAATAGGAGGCTTCAACGTCTCCTGACTCAACCAGAGGCGTCCGTTTTGCCGCGACGCAACGTGACGCGACGCAAACGCTCCCGTTAGAGCAGCACCATGTGCTGTAATTTGCAGAATTGGCAGAGGCATTTGGGAAGCGGTAAAAACGCTTCCCAAACGCCTCTCTGCCGCCTGCACACAACGCTAGTGTGAACATAGCCTAAATGAGGAATTTTGGCTTTGAGGGAGCCAGCAGGGCTACCCACTGAGCAGATTTTGGCCAGATCTTCAGGAACCCGCTAAAGTTCAAACAGTGCGTGGCTAATTTAAAATGATTGTAAAGCTTTTTTTTTTTTTCTAAAATAACAAAAAATATACTTGTCCAATTTAGTCTTGCACAGAGTGGCTCATGACCTCCTCTTCTGGGGTCTCCCCATACTCTGCTTCCCCTCTTTTTTTTTTTGTGTGTGCTTCAATAGTAAGCCACTTGCTGTGGGGGCACACCTGCAGGCTTCTCCCAATCCAGGCTGTGTGCATCCATAGCCCCACCCCCCCACTCTCTGCTCACAGGATTTGATTGACAGCAGTGGGACAGCTTCTGTCCTGTGACAAGACTACAGACAGACTCAGCTCTGGACCAATATAGGACCCATGTAAGTACAGTTTGGTCCATATATATTTTGGACACAGGCACAATTTTCATACTTTTGGCTCTGTATATGCCAGCAGAATAAATTAAAACAAAACAATCCAAACTAGTTTGAAGTGCAGACTTTCAGCTATAATTCAAAGGGTTGAACATAAATATTGAGTACACATTTTAGGAACTGCAACCATTTTTTATACACAGACCCTCCATTTTCAGGGGCTCAAATGTAATTGGATAAATGAATATGATCATCCTTTCCTGGCAATGACTGCCTGAAGTCTGGAACCCATGGACACTACCAAAGACTGGGTTTCCTCCTTTCTGATGCTTTGCCAGGTTCTAACTGCAGCTGTCTTTAGTTCTTTGTTTGTGGGTCTTTCTGCCTTTAGTTTTGCCTTCAGCAAGTGAAATGCATGCACAATTGGGTTGAGATCAGGTGATTGACTCGGCCATTGCAGAATATTCCACGTCTTTTCCTTCAAAAGCTCCTGGGTTGCTTTTACAGTGTGCTTTGGACCATTGTCCATCTGTACTGTGAAGTGCCCTCCAGTCAACTTTGCTGCATTTGGCTAAATCTGGGCTGACAGTATATCTCTAAACACTGCAGAATTCATTCGGCTGCTTCTGTCACATCATCAATAAACACCAATGAGTCAGTGCCATGTAAAGCCATGCATGCTCATGCCATCACACTGCCTCCACCATGGTTTACAGATGACATTGTGTGCTTTGGATCATGAGCTGTTCCAAGCCTTCTCCACACTTTTTTCTTCCCGTCACTCTGGTACAGATTAATCTTAGTTTCATCCATCCAAAGAATGCTTTTCCATCACCCAAACCCAGCAGAGGCTGTGGCTCCACACCACAAGGGAAGTAATGGAAGGCGCTGGCCCCTCAGCAAGCGGACCTGGTTCTTCAGGCACTGGCTCCTCTCAGGTAGGCTTGGGGATTTTAGATTCCCTCTTGCTGAACCCTGAGGGTGGTTTTTTTTTCTTTCCCCAGTCTCTGAGCGCAGGTGACGGTGGGGCGCACTTCCTTTTTTACTCCCCCAGCACAGTGGTGTTTGGATGAGGAGCCTGGGCTGATTATCTTCTGCATTGTGTTTCTTGCTTATTGTAGGTTGTAATATAAGGCCGGACACAAAACAAAAGCAAGTCACACAAACAATACACAGGTATGGTCAACCAGCCTTATACCATTGTTTCTCTAAGCATGTGAAAGACGCACTACCAAGTGTAAAGCTGCTCTGGCACATTATGCAGCATTCACTCGGCACCCCAAGAAATAACAGAATCCAACTGCAGTATCCTTGCACTATCAAAACCTCCACTTTTATTATCATACAACACACAGGGGGATATATCTTATGGTCATCACAATCTGCATAATAACACACACTAATAGTAATGTTTTTAAAAAATGTATATATAATTTTTGGAAAAAAAAATACACTTTTATTAAAAAAAAACCTTTAAAATTGCGCACGCTCGTGGAATGGCGTGAAACTGCGGTACTTAAAAAATCTCCATGGGTGATGCTTTAAAAAATTTCTACAGGTTAACAGTGTAAAATTACAGAGGAGGTCTAGTGCGAGAATTATTGCTCTTGCTCTGACGTTCGTGGCGATACCTCACGTGTGTGGTTCGAACACCACTTACATATGTGGGCATGGCTTACGTATGCGTTCACCACTACGTGCGAGCATGGGGAGATGGGGGCACTTTAAACTTTTTTTTTTTTTTATTAATTACATTTTTTTTTCGCACTGTCCCTTTTATTCTTATCACAAGGAATACATGGATCCCTTGTGATAGAAATAATTAGTGAAGGGTCCTCTTTATGGAGAGATAAGACACCACATCTCTCCTCTGCAATGTAAAGCATTGGATCAAAAAAAAGCATTGATCTAGTGCTTTAAAAAAAAATGGCCGGAAGTGGCATCGCTCCGGTCCTCCAAGGGCATAGAGATGAGTAGAGGCCATCTTTCCTTCACTCATCTCTATGCCCAGCGCTGGGATCATTCGATGGTTTCTCAGGTAAGGCTGAGAACTACTGGGCGGCAGTGAGGGGGCGTTGTTTTTTAGGCACCTGTATCGGTGCTTTTTTTAAATTTCGTCCGACCACTGAATGGGGTGTTTTCGGCCAAAATGTTTCGGCCACCAAAATTTCGGTGCATCCCTACTGTGAAATAAACACATCTTTTGACAGCCTCACAGCGTAGAATTTATACATTACCAAAGCTACAGGAAGAAGGGAAGGAAGAAACCTCATCAAAACCATAGTGCATAGGAGATCCTGGAGAAGCCTAGGACACGATCAACACTGATGAGTCCATGCAGCCTTGGCAAAAGTCCCAGCGTCAGAGTGTCCCCTTTCGCATGGGAGGGCTTCTGATCTCATTGTGTCCAGGCCCCTCTAAAATATTCTGGTTCAGTGCTTAAGGCCACATTCCCAAAATGGGCGGTGCCTTTTTACCCATTCCAGGAAACGTTTACTCAGAAACACCAAAAAGGTTCCTTGAGGTAACAGAGTCACACCCAGTCACTTTACTGAACAAACAATTCTTATCTAATACCCCCAATCCTGATGGCACAAACCAGTAAACATTTCTAACTACATAAACAACTTCTTCAGTATCCCCTCCGGACCATAAGGTAAACAAAAAACTTCCATAGTGTAAAA